ACACACACACACACACACACACACACACACACACACACAAATAAATTAATTAATTAAAAAAAAAAAGGGCTGGGGATGTAGCTCGATAGGAGAGCATCTCTAGCTTTAGTCCCCAGTACTCAAAAAAGAGACTGTAATTTCAGGGAAACAAGGGACCTATGGCACCAGCTACAGAAGCCCAGCCTTAAGAGCCAGACCGAATGGGCTTGAATTTTGACTGATCACAGCATTGGGATTTGGCAAAAGTCCCTCCGATCCAGAGGTTCCTCTGTGAAGGGGTGCTGCAATGGTACCCCCATGCCGGTGAGAGATTTCCATCGAAACAGCAACATGCTGCATGCCTCCTTTATCGCCAGCCTCTCCAGGTGTGAATAGGCAGGAGGCCAAGTGCTGCCGCCCCTGACTTTGGCTGAGTTTTCCCAGACGCAGGGCAGGGCCTGAACTGGCTCATCCTGGAGCCTGTCTCCTTGCACCTATGGGCCCCGTGGTGCCTTGGTTGTGTTCAAGTCAGCCCTGTTCCTGTCCACAAGTGGCACCTGCTTCTGCCCGCCTGTCTTGGGCAGTGGACCTGTTGCTTCGTGGGATGCTGTTGCCCTGTGACGCTCGGTGGCTCTGCTCCTCCTACTGTATCACAGCTGTGCCTCAGTACCCTTGCTTGTGCTACTCCTAAGCTCTCTCCCCCTTAGCTATCTAGTTGAAAGCAAGGCATTTTTTATTTCCACAGTAGGTTTAACAATGTGTTTCCTTAACTTCACACCTGCATGGAAATGTATAATAGATAAAAATCCTCCTCTACCCTATTATCTCTCCTAAGGTAAGGCCTCTTTTAATGCCTTTATGTAAACTCCAGTTTTGTCTTTAAGAGGGTACCATTACTGGCATGGTGATGCACACCTGTAATCCTAGCACTCGGGAGGCTGAGGCAGGAGGACCACAGTGAAATCCTCTTAAAAATATCAATAAGTTGGGCCGGGGACATGGGACATGGCTCAGTGGAATAAGCGCTTCCCTGGCAAGCGCAAGGGCCTGAGTTCAATCCCCAGTTCTGCAAAAAAAAAAAAAAAAAAAAAAAAATATCAATAAGTGGCTGCATTAGAGGGTGGAGTGGGATGTGTTAGCTCAGTGATACACAGCTCTTTCCTAGCATGCCTGAGGCCTTGGGTTTGATCCCCAGCACCAAAAAGAAAAACAAAAAAGGTATTTTATTCTAAGGTCTGCTTGTTAAAAAAAAAAAATCCAAGCATTTTGTTAAAAGTTTAGTTTATTTTTTGCACTATACCTCCTGCAAGTGACAGACATTAGTGAATTAGGGTGTATCTAGGGACTGTCTGAAATAGCAGTGTAGGGTTTTCATAATTACACTTTCTGTACTTTCATTACTGTTCAGGAGCTTGCTGCTTTGTGCTTTTTTTTTTTTTTTTGCGGAACCGGGTATTGAACTCAGGCCCTTGCACTTGCTACGGAAGCAGTTATTCCACTGAGCCATCTCCCCAGTCCCTGTTTTGTGCTTTATGTCTTGATATTTTCTCATAAGTTATCTGCCTCGGGCTGGTGAGATGGCTCAGTCGTCTAAAGCACCTACTTAGAACAAGCTCAGCAAAGCACAGGGA